GCGTAGCGAAGATTGCCCAGTTTGATACAGTTGTGTCGAGGAATGGGATTAGACCACAAACTAGCGGTTTGGTGGTTTGCGTGAATGCGGTGGTCTGGATGGAGTCAAACGCCCGGCCTGAATTATTGTGCCAGTCCGCCCCTGGTCGGAGGTGCGGATGGTGATGTCGGATAGACTGGGACGGTTGGATGATTACAGGCAGATGGCATCTGGTAAATACTGACACTTCAAGAAAAGGCCGGCAGGAACATGGATCTTGAGTTCAGTTAATTGCTGGGACATGTATCCTTAACGTATGGAAGGATGCAGAGATGCATCATGCGTGATGCCACTGGCCGTGGCCGACCCTGGCAGAGAACCGGAATTGTGCGAGGCCTGGTGTTTGTTGTTGCCTGAGTATTGCTGGAGCTATGTTGCGGTTGGAGGGAATGTTTTTTCCCTCTGAGGAATTGTTGGAGCGGGCGACGGTCCAGTCACTAATGTCAGGCTCCGTTTGTGGAGGAAGAGACGGCCGCGCTGTGGAGGAGGGTGTGCTGCGCCTGAAGAGTTTTGCTTAATCATTTTCTTTCATTCGTTAGATGGCGTATACTGTGTGTGTGTAGTAAGTAAAGTTTATTTGTATAGCACCTTTCACAGATAAAAATCACAAAGTGCTTCACATAAAATGTAATACAACACAACAAAGTGTGTGTGTGTGGATTTACATAAGGCACATGTTAGAAATACCAAAATAGAAGGATGTTTTTATCTTTAAATCCAACAGAAAACCTAAAGCACATAAACATCACAGACATGAAGACTCAAATGTCCAACAGTCCAGCAGTGCTGAAGACAGAAGACCAAGCAAATGATCCTGGTTCAGTGTCTTTGGACACCACCATGTCTACTGATGACCTCTAGTGGGTAAATAAGCTAAATGAGTGCATTGAACAATGAAAATGTGTGTCAGACATGATTTTCCCACATGGGGCATTTTCTGACATCATCACTTCCACAAGGAAACTTGATTGGACAGATCTTGTAACACTAATCACTTAAAAATATCTGACTTCATCTTTTCACTCATGTGTTTGTGTGGATGGATCAGAATAAGTTAAAACCTGGACCCATGAAGTGTTTTGCTGAAGAAACATTTTAAAATGTCCATTAAAGATACAAGAACAGATATCAGGGAATTTCTCTGATGATGCACAAGTTTGATCTGATCCAGAATTTAAACAGTCTAAAGACAAATAACAAATCCTGTTTTAATACGTTTTCATTGTGAGTTATTTTACAGTGAAGACAGAAAATAAGAGTTAATTATGCAACATGTCTACAATCTCATGGGGAAATGATTTGGTTTTCATCCAGTTCTACAATGAATCACCAAACCACTGAGTTACATGCAGTTAATGTGCAGTACAATAGGTTAAAGGCTCCACCAGATGGTGTCATGTCAGTGGAAGACTGGATGTAAACTCACACACTGAAGGAGAGCGGGACTTCTCATATCCTCCTACAGCACAGGAAAAACTGTCCTGCAGGATCAAAGTAGGCTGAATAAGAATTAGATGTTTGTCCCTAATGTTCTGTCCATTCTTGTACCAGACGTAGTAATGATGACCAGGTGGAAGACAACTGCTGTGACACTTCAGCTCTGCCCAGTTATAAGACTCTGATCTGCTCACCTGCACCTGGAGATCTGAATATGTGAATAAGGAACAGAAATCTTAACTTTAGACTGAACTGTCACAACACAGTAACCTTCATAATGTTGAACATTTGGAACTAAATAATAAATATTCAGATAAAAATGTTACCTGTGACAGACAGAGTGACTCCAGGTGAACCAGTATATTTCCCACCTGGTTGGTTTGTTATGAACCTGAACTTGTACTCAGCTGAGTCGCTCTCTCTCAGGTCTGTGATTCTCAGAGTGCAGTAGGGCTCACCACAGCTATGTGTCAATGACCTGAATAGTTTGTGTCCATTATTAGATCCACATTACTTTCTTCAGTAAACCAGAATATTCTCTCAACTTTAGTCTCATGGCCATTTGTTTTGAGTGGGTATGTATATTTGGAGGACATATCAACTGTTGATCCTTTGAAGGCACAGATCTTAGTAGTAGAAGTGTACGTCACTCCCCAGTCATTCTGGCTCTGTACCACTGTAACACAGAGCACATCAGAAACAACAATCAACATCAATAACTTCATTAACAATCAGTTAATAAGACAAAGTGGATCATACTACCGATATGATTTGGCGAAAATGTATCCTGGACAATTTCAAGGTCCTCAGTTGTCTGACTAATTATCTGCAGTCATTGTCATAAAAAGTTCCTGAACCTTAACTGGAATAGAGAATTTTATAAGATACCATATATATTACTATAATTATAAGGTTTTTTTAAAATCATTTTTTTGGAATATTTCTGGTTAATTCTGCTTTGGCCTATTCATTCAAACAAAAAAAAAAGAATGAAAGAAAGAAAAAAAAGCCTGAAAAGTGCAGCTTATGTGTCAACACACAAGTTATCCAAACAGAAAATAAAGGACATTTTACACACTTTACTGGGATAAAACAAGAACAGTGGGACATAAAATACATAAAATGGGAGAGTTTCTAGCAGCTAAACATAAGACGCAGAAAACTGCTATCAAGTCTCTGACTTTAGCACCCGCTGAATGAGGGTAAATTGTTGGTAGAGGCTGTAAAATCATCAGACCATCCACCACTTTGAAAGGGAAACATTAAATTACAATTTGCCTAAATGAGCTGAATGTTGTTTCGTCATTTAGGCTATCTAGGTGCATACATTTCTAAAGTGATACAATTTCTGTGTGGAAGGCAACATAACTTGCTTGCCACAGCGGCAGGCAGTAAAGAAAGATAATTTTGGACCCTGCTGCTGTCAACACAGACCACGAAACACTGAGGTCAGACAAAAGGAAGTAGCAGGGTTTCGTGCAGATGTTGATATGAGATAAATTGTGCCAGTATGACTTCACTGTGAGACCAGAATCTCTTTAAAAACCTTCTCCGTGATAAAAGTAGCACACAATTACCGTGATAAAAATAGTTGCAGATAGGAGCTAATCATCCGCCATCTTCTGCAACCAGAGTCGACTTTAGAACACATTAAACAGGGCAATAGGTTTTCACAGGGTGAGAAGGGAACAGTCATAACTAAAACCCCAAATATTCTCCGTTTACAACATGTAGAAGTGACTGCACACAATTACCTTAAGTAAAGAAAAGAGCAAAGGATGATGGCCATCACAAACCACGATCTTCTTAATATTCATTACAACTGACCTACTTTTACAAGACCCATTTTTCCCAGATTCCCCTGTTTTAATGCAAAATATAATATATTCAGTACCTGACACAGAGAGAAGGAAGACGACAAATCCACTTGTTGCTGCAGTTAAACTCATAGCTGCTCCTCTCATCTCTCTGTGTGGCTTCAGAGACAATAAAACATGTTAGCAGATAAAATAATGTACAAGGGAGATATACAGTATCAGTCACATCAATAAACAATTCTACTTACAATGAAGAAGGACGCTGTCTTTAAAGAAGCCTTCCTCTGTGGTCAGTAAGCAGATAGATATCAGGCTGTTAAACGACTACATTTCCTTCCTCTTTAGATTATTAACATTCATGATGAGCCAAATGCCAGTTAACACCAACATCAAAATAAAGAAGTAACGATTTGCAAACCAAGAACTTAATAAGAGAGAATAAGAAAATATTGTTATGGCCTGTTGGTATTAAACCTGTTTCGCTGTAAAAATCCCAGACACAAGCAAAGACCATTCAAAAAGAGAAAACACATTTTTAAACTCTTCCAATTTAAAGCACAAAAACAAGACTGGTGTAAAAGTTGGTTTGATGCATCACTTGACACTTCAAGTGCATCTTTAGACAGTGAAAATTAGTTCAAAGAGATGTGCTGCAGCAGTATGGGATGCTAAAAGTCTTATGCTGAGTCTGGGCTTCACAGTAATAATTCCCACTGTGTTCAGCTCTGAAGTCAGTGATGGTGAAGTTCTGTCCTGATGCTTTTGGTGAGTCTTCATTCTCCTTGTACCAGGTATAATTAGCTGCTGGGTTAGCATCACTGCTGCAGGTCAGACTCACTGAACTGCCCTCCACTATCTCAGCAGAGGGACTCACTGACACAGAGGGAAGCTTTGGAGCATCTGGAGGAGAAAACATAAATCAACAAAAATTGAGGATAGATTTCTTTGTTTTGTGTTGAAATGAGTGTGGAAGCATCTGAAATTTTGGAGGTGGTTTTGTGACTGGCAGCAGACAGAGCTGTGTGTTTGGCCACTTGAATTATACTCATTTACATCTAAGAAGATACCAGATGAACGTGCATCTTACGTGGGTAAAACAGAGGTAAGTTATATCACCCAAAATTATTGCAGTGTGTTGTAAATACTGCATTAATCGAAAAGCAGAGTTGGATAAATATACTTAATGATATTATATTACTAGCTAGTACAAGATAAGATATCAATAAACTGTATACGTCATTTATGTTCTGACATGTACATTCATTGTCATAACTGCTATTTGAAAAAAACAACAACAAACAACTTTTCTGCAGATGACTGTTGATGTTTCTACTGTTATTTAATTGCATGGGGTTCAAAACCTTTGCCTTTCCTACAATTCAAGTACAAAGGAAAAACAGAATGAAATACAAAAAGTGTGGCCACTATATACAGTACTCTAAAAACACCTAAAAACATAAAACAATCTCTAAAAGGTTAGCTAAGACAAAATACACACTAACTGTCTTCCAGTGAAAATGTTACCTGTGACAGACACAGTGACTCCAGGTGAACCAGTAAATGTCCCTGTTAACGTGTTGAAGTTGAACTTGTACTCAGCGGAGTCGCTCTCTCTCAGGTCTCTGATTCTCAGAGTGCAGAAGTTGTTTCCACATTGATGCTGCACACGATCTGTTTCCAGATCCACATATTGATCATTTCTCTCTTTTGTGAACCAGATTATAGTATGGCCGTCATTTATTCAGGATGGGTATCTGTATGTGCAGCTTATGTCCACTGTTGATCCTTTTAAGGCACAGTGGAAGTGGAAGTCACTCCCCAGTCATTCTGACTCTGTACCACTGTAACACAGAGCAGAAAACAGTCAGATTTATAACAGCAGAGGATAGATTTTAATATTTTATAAAAATGAAAGACTAAGCTGACAGCGAGTGACACACAAACACAGGTTTTGTGGTTAGATGCAAAATACAAGGCAAGTATTGTCTCACATATTACAGACACGTACATTCATGGTGCAGTGCATTAGCTAAACCGATCCACCAGATGGTTTTATGTTAGTGGAAGACTGTGGAGTAAACTCACAGACTGAAGGAGAGAGTTCTTATACCCATTTACAGCCCAGGAATGTCACACTCTGCCTGTCTGCCATGCGGTGTTTTGCACTTTTGTGTTTAGTTAGCGTTATTTTGGTCTGTTGGGTTTTGGGGGTCTGTCTTGTCTTTCGTCTAGTGTTCGGTAACCCTTGTCATGTCTGTTACCCCAGTGATCCCTCTGCATGTCTGTCTCTGTTTTCCCCTGCTCTCTCTCTCTCTCTCTCCCTACCTGTGCCTTGTTAGCCTCATGTCTTTTACCTGTGTTGCTCCCGCCCTGCTCGTTAGTCCCTGTGTATATATACCTGGTGTTTCTGTCTTGTCTTTGTCGGGTCATTGTTTATTGTCACCCAGTGTTACAGTGTGTTACAGTGTGTTACAGTGTGTTACAGTGTGTTACAGTGTGTTACAGTGTGTTACCTTGTGTTGCCAGCCTACTCGTCGTGTCTCCCTGTTTCCCTGCTTATTCTGGATTCTGGTTTTCTCGTTTGGATTACTTTGTTTTGGACTCTGTCATCAGCCACTCAGTTTGTAAGTGTGCTCGCCTTTGTTTGTTTATTAAAACCCCTTGAATTGTACCTCCTTTGCCTTGCGTCCTGCATTTGGGTCCTCCAACCTGCTCAACCCTGCCTTCACCTCAAAACCGTGACAAGGAAAAGCTGTCTGCAGGATCAAAGGAGCCTGAGTAAGTAGATGTTCCCTGCCTGTACTGTCCATTTTTATACCAGACATAGGACAGATGATCAGGTAGATGACAACTGCTGAGACACTCCAGCTCTGCCCAGTTAGAAGTCTTGTAGATGTCTAATCTGGTCACCTGCACCTGGAGATCTGAATACGTGAATAAGAAGGCTTCATTTTAGACTGAACTGCCAACATACACACACACACAACTAACGTTCATAAGATGTTGAATACTGGGAACTAAATTGTTACCTGTGACAGACAGAGTGACTCCAGGTAAACCAGTATATTTCCCACGTTCTTGGTTTGTTATGAACCTGAACTTGTACTCAGCTGAGTCGCTCTCTCTCAGGTCTGTGATTCTCAGAGTGCAGCGGTTCTTATCACAGCTATACGTCACGCGACCTGAATACTCCGGGTCCGATCTCAGATCCACATAAACATTATTACTCTCTTTCGTAAACCAGAATGTTTCCTCAGCTTTGGTATCATGATTATTTAAGCTGGAGGGATATATGTAGGTGCAGCTAATTCCACTGTTGATCCTTTTACGGCACAGATCGGAGTAGAAGTGTAAATCACTCTCCAGCCATTCTGACTCTGCAACTGAAAAACAGGTGACTTCAGAATTCAAAATCCGATCCATAACAACATCAGAGAACAGACTTCATTTTACTTATTTATTTTTGTAGGACTTAATTGAACTACTGTACATTTACAAAACTACTTCCAGAGGAGTCAAACCATTTGCCACAGAGTGTGAGACTGGAAATGAAAAACAATAAAGTATTTTAGGTATTCAGGTATTTCTGTTTTTAATGAGAGGCTGTCATAGGAATATTTATGACTCTTGGGTGCTTCAGCTTAGCCCATTTATTTCAGACATAAAAAAGTCTATGTATAGGAGTGGAGCAGGAAAGTACCACTTTTTAATACTTTTTAGAAGGGCTGACACCTGTTGTGCCGAATTCTGCCCGCCTGCTGAGAATTGCATGCACCTCGCGAGTGATAACGGCATTTATGCTCAGAAAAGAAGTGGATGCAAATCTCAGCAGGTAGCCTACAAAATTTGTTCTGCCGGATTATGCATCCACCTCTTTAGGTTCTTTTCAGACACTTTGCTGTGCTCATTGATTATCAGGTTATCACCACATATATTTACTGAATCTCAAGGAATGGTACTTCTACTAAGTTTATTAAACTATTAAAGACTCTAAACATTCATAAAATATATACTTTGAATCATTTCTCACATTGATGAACCCACAAAGAATATTATAGTATTTGGAGGTGCATGCAGTTCTCGGCAGGCAGGCAAAACTCGGCATAAAACCCCAATAGTGGAAGATTTGATACTTCGATGTGCGGAGCCTGATTCGATCGTCAATCTCTGTCGAGGCTTCTCAGCAAAACAAGGATCATGCCATTTTGATGATATGGGGGTGCTCGACGAGTTGTCTGCACCTCGCGGGACTTTCGGATAATTTATCACCGTTGAAGAACCACACAAAGAATACTTATCGTTTTTTAAACAGCCGGCTACTTGAAATAGACCCGTGAGGAACCGTGACAAAACTCTACACAAGACCGGTGAATGGCAGGAGAGAGAGAGAATGTTCAACTTTAAGCATCAGTTTAGCTGGAAATTTACAGTGTAGGTTGAATGAATAGAGACTGCAGCTCTGCAGCTTCTCAAGATTAAAGTGGAGCTAACGTGTATTATTCTCCCCCACTCGGCTCGCAATCACCATGCACAATAACATATGATTCGACTATCAATCGACTATAGGCAGGACAGCCCTACTTTTAAGTAAAAGTGCTTACTGAAACCTTGTATTTAATGTTTTTTGGAGATCTGACATTAAAACCCTAAAGTTGCTTTGCCATTTTGTCCATTCGGCTGGTGCTCATCCAAGATCAATTCATCAAATCCATGGAATCCATGTAAAAACAGATTAACTTTATGGTAGACTGCTGACTGAGGGCATTCCCCATAACATTAGATCCTGGACACTTGTAATTTGCCCAAATCCATAATTAAAATTTCTAGGTGGTCCAGGGTCCCTGCACTACTTTGAGCTCTGAACTAAAGAAGTCAATTTCTACCAGGAAGAGAGAAAAATTATAGAAAGAACAAAAAATCGAAATCATAAGATACTAAGTACAAATTTTTACTTCCTAAGTAGAAATTGTGAGCTGGTGCTCGCTCATTATTTTGACTTCATATTCAAGAGAAAGAAATGCATTGACACTGACTCAAACATTCTGCTTGGCAATGAAACAGGTAGTTTTCCTGCAAATCCAAGTGAAAAAGTGATTTTAAAAAGGTTAGCCATCAACTTAATGACATAAAAGTAGAAATATGTGCGAGAAGACTTCACTGTTTGAGACTCAACACGAAGAGAAGCAGAATGATTGAGTTATTAGCATCAGTCTTATCAGACCCCCTCCTCCTACCAAAATATCACTGCATTGTGCTAAAAGTGCCCACAGGTTGAGACAAGTAGTCGTCCTTCTATGGGGATGAATAATTCAAAATCACATTGCATCCAAGAACGTATTTCCCTCCTCTGCAACCCTTACTGTACACAGCATTCAAATTTATGGTATCGAGGATACAGATTATAGACTATATTTGAAATATACGAGAAAATCCACAAACCACTGTGTGGTAACAATCCAGACACAAGCATTTATACACCAAAGTAGAAGCACTGAGTCCAAAAGTTAAGGTTTGGTGTTGCAGTCAGAGTTTTAAGGTATTTTAATGTACCACACTTCATGACTGTACAGGTCAAATCTAGGAACATGACGTCTGACAATAAATGATTTAATTAAATGTTTCTTCTTAAACTAACTTCAGGATGCTTTGACTAAATGTAAAAACCCTAGAACTTAAATGTAGATATACAGCACCTGGTACAGTCAGGAGAAGGACGACAAATCCACTTGCTGCTGCTGTTAAACTCATAACTGCTCCTCTCATCCCTCTGTGCGACTTCAGACATTAAAAATGTCTGCAGATAATAATGTACACCAAAGTAAATCAGTCAAATCAAAACACTTCTACCTAACATGAAATTAAGTTATCTTCACAAGACAACATTCCTTTGTGGTCTGAAAGCAGGAAACAGAAGTCGAAGCTGTTAAAATCCACCTAACTTCTTTCCTCTTTACATTATTTACATGAACAATCAGAACACCCCACAAACACAAGAAAGAAATCTTAGCGTAAGTGTCATCACAGTTTGTGTTCTGTCAGTGGTGCTAGACTAAACAGGAACAGGAGAAAACCGACAGTTTGATGCATCGCTTGGATGCACACCATAGATTCAAATTGATGTGCTGCGTCAGAGTGGGAAAAAGTCACATGATGCAGTCTTATTGATAGTATAAGACCTGGAACACCAGACCAGAATACTGGTGATAAAAAGTGATGTAAAAAGAACAAATGGTACAAAAAGTGGCAGAAATCTCATTTAGAGAGGAAAGAAATGCAAACTCTGTAGTTTCATCTTTAGCTTTATTGATCTCTGGGGGGGAAGTGACATGTTACAGCATCACAAGAGACTGCTGGCTAAGAGGTAACGAACACCGACACTATTTGACTGAAATAATTACAAATAGATGTAAAGACTCCATATTTGTATAGCACCTTTCTAGTCTTTTTGACCACTCAAAGTGCTTTTACACAACATCTGCATCCATCATTGACTCACATTTATACACTGAGCCTAAGTGCTCAAACAGAAACTAACATTCAGAGCCTGGAGGAGCCAGGGATTTAACAGGCAACCCACTCCAACTCCTGAGCCACAGCTGCCTTAGAAAAGAAGGAAATTAGAAGGAAGCCAACCAAAAAACTGCATAGACTATATATATACATTAGCTGAGATATAAGATAATTGTGAAGGTATTTATGCCAAACTCCCTCACTTACTTACAGACACTGTGGAGCAGCCTCAGCCTTACTTTTACTCTGTTATTACTTTTATTTTGACTTACTGATGTTGGATATCACTGTAACTACTACTCCTGAACTAACAGTAGAGTCATACTCACAAAACATGTAGCTCCTAACTAGCTGAGTTTTATGAAACGCCATAAAAATATGGGGTGACCTAACTGGTCCTAACTGTAAGACTACATTTTTTGAGTAAACAAACACAAACAAGTTTAGCTCTGAAAGTAGCTCCTAGGTCTGAGAGGCTTAACTTCCTCTGGTGCACTAACAGTTACTTCAGGTACATTTTGGTGTCTCCAGGAAGAGGTTTGGCAGGATGGAGAGTTGTTAGAGAGCAGAGATAAAAGGTCACTGAATACTGAACTTTCAAAGACTGTAAAAAACATGTTACACATAATATTCAAGTTAATGCTTTAAGTCATAAAATACTTTACACATTCTTTAAAGCTGCACATGCAGAGTAAAAATCTAAGCTGAACACTGGTTACATTTATCATTTAGCTGACGCTTTTATCCAAAGCAACTTACAACTGCTAAATATGTCAGAGGTCACACGCCTCTGGAGCAACTAGGGGTTAAGTGTCTTGCTCAGGGACACATTGGTGGATGTGTCGCAGTGGGAATCTGAAGGCATGTGTCTTATCCACTGCTCCATCACCACCCCTACTGCTATACTGGTGGATGTTATGTTGAAAAGTTTCTCTAAGGTATATAATTAATTAGCCCATTTTTTAAGGCCCATCCTGAGAAATATATTGTAAAAATCAATAGTTATCTGCTTAAATCAGTTCATAAAGAAACATAGAAATATCAGAAATGTAATATCTGTTGTATTCAATAGGTTTTGTTGACGGTGCTGTACAATGCAGCTACATCCTCTCCAGTTTCCTGACCTCTGGATCTGAGAAAAAAGAAGACATTGTATGAAATAATATAATTACTATCATATCCCAACAGCGATACAACAAATGTAAAAGCAGAGCAGGCAAAATGCAAAAGCAACATATTTATCTCACAGTTATTCATTTTAATCTTGTAGTGAGGATAATGTGAGAAGAGCTGCTCACCTCGGGGCAGTATTACTCTTAAATGTGACAACAGCGTACTCCATGACTCTTGCTGCTCCGTGTGTCTGAGGGAGCGAGCTGGTCTGATGTTGGAGTAGAGAGGATCTGCCTGGTTGTTGGTGAAGTGAATGCTGGCATACTGAAGGTTATCCTGCTGCTCTGGCTGTTCAGGTAGAAACTGCACAGACATATTTTACATGAGTGGGTTTTTCATTTGAATAGTGAATTCTTACAGATGATTGCAGCCAGGACAGAAAAGACTGAAGCAACTGCAGCTTTGGTAATGATAGAACAAATATTTCCTGCTTCACCGTGCATTACAGAAAAGAGCTAAGTAAAGGAATTTACAAGGAAAGGACAAAAAGTAGGAAAGCTTCTGGATCTACTAGGAATTTAGTCACATCCATTAGAAATTCATTGAATTGATGTCAAAAGAGCAACATGAAGTTCTTCTCAGTCAGATTCATTTTCCAGAAGCACTTGAAGAGTGAGTGACTTTTGTTGTTGAATAAGATCCGTGACTATTCTCACCTGTTCCCTGTTGTCTGGTCTCTCTTCAGGCTCAGATGATTCCTTGGAAGCCCTCTTTTTCCTGGTTAGGAGAATAAATAAGAAAATAAATGACTGAACGTTTTAGGTTGGACAAACTGACCTTCAGTGATTTAACATTCAATGATTCAGTGAAACAGAGCTGCTCACCTGATCCACAGGAAGAGACAGAGGGAAATGATAACCAGGAGAACAACAGTGATTGTTGTAGCAACTGCTAATTTCCCTGCTCCTAAAAAATGGGGAACATAAAACAACACAGACAGTAAATTAGAGTGTTACAGCATGTTTGGACCCATTGCTCCCATAGAGTAACACTGCTTTCAAACACCAATCAGAGTAAACCAAATTATTACCAATGTAAAGAAACTGATTTAGAGCGTTACAAAGAAGAAACTAAAAGCCAAAGTAGATCAGAATGTTCTCTCTAAAAAGAGATTATTATCTCTCTACTGTCAGAGATAGAAAGCAGAGACAGATCCAACCAAGTACAGTGCATTTGTGTTTGCTGTATTATAGTTTTGCAAGAATTGTTTGCTTTTGCAAGGGATGTATAATGTTTTGTTTTATTGGTGTAAGGTTTTGTGATTAGTGTGTAGAGTTTTGAAAAAATAGCCACTAGTTTCAAAAATTGTGCCTAAGGAATTAGAAAACACTGTAATGTCCCCAGAGTGTGTGCAGCTCAATGCAAAACCTTACCTGGCACAACAATCAGATGTAAGGTGGAGTTATGACGTCCTCTTCTGTTCTGGGCTTCACAGTAATAATTCCCACTGTGTTCAGCTCTGATGTCAGTGATGGTGAAGTTCTGTCCTGATGCTTTTGGTGAGTCTTCATTCTCCTTGTACCAGGTATAATTAGCTGCTGGGTTAGCATCACTGCTGCAGGTCAGAGTCACTGAACTGCCCTCCACTATCTCAGCAGAGGGACTCACTGACACAGAGGGAAGCTTTGGAGCATCTGGAAAAAATAAATGAACAAAATGAGGATAGATTTCTTTGGTGCTACATGTTGTATTGAAATGAGAAAATAGTTATGTGTTTGTACGCTGTTTTTATTTTCTATTTTACCCTTTTAAAAAAAAGCATATTTTAATGTTTTTGTTCAATTTCCCTTTGTTGCTTTTATGTTTTATGTAAAGCCCTTTGAATTGCCTTGTTGTTGAAATGTGCTTACAAAAAAACTGGCCTTGCTTTATGTGTGTGGAAGCATGGCTGACGAACGGGGAAGTGTACGCGGAGCAGCGCTGCAGTTTTTGGACAAATAAACACACGTAATTGGACTGGATTATGCTCTGACAACAACGCTGTTTACTCGCGGGAGAAGCTCAGACTTAACTGCTTTTATTGAATTTGCTTTTTAACTTTAGTTTTTGGGAATACAACGTTGATTCATCTTCACTGGAGTTTTTCGGCAGCTAGTGTCTAGCATCTGGTTCCACTGTTGTTGTTAGCATCGTCTGGCTCCCAGAGCTCTGTTGGACTACTACTTCATATTTATATAAAAACTGGACAGAACTGAACATTACTTGGACATTACTACCTGGTGTACTGTATCGTTGTACTTTATTGTGAACAAGTTAGCATAGCATAGCCCAGCTCGAACCGAACTCCATTCAGAAAACCAACATTTTAAAAGTTGCTGTCCTGCTGACAGACCTGGCAAAACATGAATTCATATGTTTAACAAATCGGCATCATATTGTAGTTTTTTCGGCATCAGTTTGATCCATTTATTGCTATGAAATCACAGCAAAATGTTTACTTTCTGTTCATTTAACTGTAGAATTTGCGGGTTGTGTTTATTCGTTTACCGCGTTGTGTGCGAACCGTGCAAACACTCAGCAACGTTACACTCTAAAAAATGATTCACAGGCTTAGTAAATATCATAGTAATAAATAGCTATACTAACTTAATAAAATCTCTGAATATCGCTTTAGTGATTGTTTGAGTTGTACATTCCAATATTAATGCCTAGAGGTTTAACAGCTAATTTTTTGTTCAATTTACAATTATCATTAAGTTTATTTCACAAAATGAAATTAGTATTTTAATATTGCTATCTGATATTTTGCATTTAACACTACATTCATTGTTTGCTGCCATTACAGATCCTGGTGATGGCCTGCCTTGTTTGATGTCTTGCAAGTGAGTAAAAAATAATTTTTGTAGCGGTTAACACAGAAGTTACAGACAGAAAACCTGCATGTGTTTTTGCAGAATTGAAATGATGAACGATTATGTTGCCACTTCTTTCTTTTTTCTCATCTTTCTCATTCAGGTCAATGTGTGTGAGTTCCAGAGGATCATCACACTGAATCTTGAACCAAAATTCACATCAATGTTGGACTTGTATTCCACCAACAGCTGTCCCTGTCCAAGGCGAAGAAGGGTGCTGCAGGCGAGTGACATCGGGCAGATGTGAGTATTCTACTTCAGGTTATACAATTGTATTCCTTCTGGAGTGGAGGGGGAGCCACTCTTATCTGTCTCACGTAATACTGTCAGGATAAAATGAACGATTATTTTAAATAAATCTTACCGACCCTAGCTTTAACATTACTTGCTTTTCTGTCTTCATTCTGGTCATGGTCATGCATCTGCCTGTTCATCTGTGCCATGAGTTTTCCATGTTTTTTTTTCTTGCATCTACTTTGCATCCCTCAACAAATACCAGTTCTATGCTGCTGATGTTTCATTTATTCAATGTTAACTAAATTTAGACCATTTTGACAATAAAGTGGGTGCAGTAAAGCAAAAGTAGTAGTAAAAGTATTAGTAGTTTAAAGACTTTCTGTTCTGCAGAGTGGAATCTTCATTCAGCAAAACAAGAGGTCATCATCCGATGTCTCCTTGACCACCTGGGAGAAGATACAAGTGCCTTGATGAAGGACTTTGAGGTTAGTAAAATAGTTTTAACTAATGTATTCATTGATGACAGATCACAAACATGCAAAGGAGAGAAGCATAGCGAGTTAGCAGGGAGGGATTACTCTTTGTGTGTCCCTTTTTTTGTAACAAGTAGTTTGAAAGTTATGGAATCAGATCAGGCTAAAAATTTGGATTCAACTACATATTTTGTGCTAAAACAAAAAGGATTACAAAAAGCCTAGGATACCACTAGAGCTGAACTAGTGATTTCCTAATCGCAAAGGCTGAGATTACTCTCTGGTCATATGACACGCGAGAGTAAAGCAGTCTGCAGACGAAGTTGATGCTTTGTCTGCACGTTACGCCGTACCTTGTCTTCTTGTTGTACAACGGCCTTAAGCTTGAAAGAAACTGACACTACAGAAACTTTTGTGTCACACATGGAATGAAAGTAGCACCTTGTAACTTGGTGGTGGGTGAAAGTCACGTGTAGAAAGGTAAGCGTATTGTGGCGATCGGCGCCTGCGTCACACACACAGCTACCAGTCAGCTCAGGAAATATCTGAAAATCATTAAGCCCTACATACCACACACGCTAGGGTTGGGCTGATAGACGATTTAATCAGCACAAATATTATTGTAATGGCAGAAAATTGTGTCCTCTTACATTTAATATTTTATGTATGATCTTTTAACATTATCATTCTTATTACTATTATTGTTATAGATATGTATTGTGTTTTTATCCTTAACCTTTCCTCTCCTATACTCCTTATGTTGGTCTGTCCACATTTACTAGGGTTTGGGTCAGAGCTGTGAGATTGTTTTGGTGTTTTCTCTCTCTTGTTGTTCCTCTCCTCTCATGGAATGTTCATTCAATGCCGAGAGAGGATCTCTGTTCCCCAAAACATAGAAACCTAGACTGTGTAAATGCTGATGCATCCCTTTACTCGGGCCAGACGCCCGATGCCGCCCTAGGCGGCAGGTCTCTGGACCAGCTGTATATGTGTTTTAGTACTTCTCTGTTTATTCTCTTTTGTTAAATAAATTATTCAAAGACAACGGTTGGTTGTTACTCAATTCTTTGCTCAACCCCTCACCAGGAATATAATTTCCACGACAATTATTATACATTTTAAATATGCTTCACACCTTCCTCAGAATGATCTTCTCCCCACACCTCAGGTAAACACACCGGCTTGCCCCGCTTCTCTCTGGAGTTTGTGCTCGGCGCATGCGCTGCATTTTCCTTATCTAAAAAGCATCTAATAGACAAGCTTAATAATTCTCCGACAGCACCTCAACTTGATGCTTCCTCTGCAGACTGCTTTACTCTCGCGTATCATGTGACCAGTGGAATCGCAGCAAATGGAATTAATCGTTTAGCTCTATCCCCAGTGAAACTATTCAGGTTGAAATCTAAAAATATTTTATCAAGTGATATGTATTAACTGTTGTCTTTAACACTGAAGACAGATGTAGTGTGTAGTCCACATATAATATAGTCAGTAGTAATGTGTATAATATGAATGACTGAAATAAATAAATACATTTATTAATCCTTCTGTTTGCATTCATTAATATCAAGACTCAAGTTATTACAAAGAAAGTGAGCTCTAACCTCTTATCTTTAAAATGTCTGCAGAATGCAGCAAATGCACCTGTCGGTGTTCAAGAGGAGTTGGGACGAGAGGTGAAGCTTTACCTGCTGCGGAACCAAGATGGGTCAGTCAAAGAACCTACTGATGTAGGGACTGAGAATAAAGGCATCACTGTCCTCAGACTGATGCTAGTTGTAGGGACTAACCTATGCCTTGGATCTGAAAACCCCAAGAATCTCAAAAGTTACAGTTTTGAGGTCTTCCAAAAAGTGCTGCTTCAGTGACTGAAAAATTACCTGTGTACCTTGCTGACTACTGTCTGGCAAGATGCTCTTATAATGTGGCTGGTGGATTGTCTTAATGTTTACTTAAGAGAACATTGGATTTTGGACTGGTATTCAGTTCTGTTGTGTAAGTGTAAGTGTAAAAATGTTTCACCAATAAATTAAAGTTTATCCCAGTAATAGTTTTTAGAGTGTAGTTGTCCAGCGCTAAAAAGCTGCGTGAGGAAATCATTGCGAAGACTAAATTTGCGTTGTATGTGAACACAGCTAAGAGGAGGCCAGAAGAATGTCCTTCATACATTTTGTATGAGTAAACACAAAAATGTTGAAATGTGCTTTAAACTGGAATTGTGTCCCTGATTAACTTTCTATTAGCAGAGTTGGGTCTATATACTTATTGATATTATATTCCTGGTTAGCACAAGCTAAGAAATCTATGTACTTTATATTTCCTTGATGTTATGACATGTATAATTTTATTGTCAAAATAACTATTTCAGAAAACAACATTAAATTGTTTTCATTTTCTGCAGATGGCTGATATTTGTACTGTAATTTAACTGTGTGGGGGTTAAAAAAGTTGGCCCTTCCTACAACCCAAAAAATGTTGCCACCTAACTAAATCCAGGCAGCAATTTTGTTTCTAGCAAAATGTATTAAGCAAAAGAAAATACTACACATTAACTTACTCCTTAAAAGGTAAATTATTATCATAACAATTTAATAATGCACTGCATTTAAACAGCATCTTTTATTATTCTTATATTACTTGCATTTGTTTATTTGTTTATTCCATATTTATATATGTCTACATTTATTTATGTTATGTTTGTCTACGAGTAGCACCTTATCACTAAAGCAAATTCCTCGTACATGTAAAATACTACTTGGTAATAAAGCTCTTTCCTATTCTGATTATTTTCAAAGAGAAAAAGCGATAGCAGTAGCCTACTGGTCCTACCAGGCTGGACATGCAGACTGCCAAAATATGTATCCCTGTCGATAATGCACAGATGACGGCCTACCATCAAGTATTTAATTTAGTGCGGCGGGGACTCCGCACTCTGCTACTGGCAATATTTCTCTCCACTGTGCAACAAACTGGATGAACTTCAGCTTCTGGTGCGGGAACACAGAGACTTTTATTTATCTTCTGTTCTGTGCTTCATGGAGACGTGGCTGTGTGAACTGATTCAGGACTTCCAACTCTACGGAGCACGACACAGAGCTCTCAAAACAAATGGTGGAGGTGTCTGGCTGGTGTACCGACGTGACAGTGATTCAGCAGCACTGTTCTCCTAATCTGGAATTTTTTATCATTAACTGTAAACCCGTGAGTTTGCTTCATTCACTCTGGCAGGTGTTTACATTCCGCCTCAGGCCAACGTGCAGGAAGCACAGCGCATGCTGGCCGACCAGATACTGTGTGTGGAGCAGACAAACCTGGTGTCCCTTGTTATTGTTCTTGGTGACTTTAACAAAGGAAACCTCAGCCAAGAACTCCCCAAATACAGACAGTTTATAAAGTGTCCAACCAGAGAGGGGAAGACTTTGGATCACTGCTACACCACAGTTAGCAGTGCCTGTCACACCATCACACGCTCCACTGGGACACTCTGATCACGTGATGGTCCATCTGATCCCTGCATACAGGTAAAATTAAAACCTATAGTGAGGATATCAAAGAAGTGGACAGTGAAGCTGTAGAGGATCTTCAGGCGTGTTTGGACTAGGGATGCAACGATTATAGATTTTGTTGGTACGATTATGGTCAGAGAAATAATCACGGTTTCACGATTATTACGATTAGTATGCATTAATTAATTTCACAATACTAGTAATGACTTGATGATTTTTAATATTTAATGACATTAACAATCATATTTCTATAATATGTAAGTATTATTAATATAAGAGGAATATTAAATTGTATCGCCCAAGGATAAGGGGAGGAGGGGAATAAACTGAACTGTTACTGTCATCAACTCTCATCCATATAAGTATTAGTGAAAATGATAGAAAGAAACTGAGTGCAGTGTTAACTGAAATGCAGTTAAGTGGTAGCCTATAGTCCTGAACGTCTAGCTCCTGTATGTGAGCGTTTTACACCTGGCAAAATTTTCTCAACACAGACAGAAGGAGGCAACAGGATTTAACGTTAAATGTTCAGTGACTGAAGGTCTTGAGAGGACTACGTTCTGTCTTCCATGAAGACACTTTCAGAAAAGAAGCGATTTGCACTGCGTGGAAGCTGCTCAGCGCTAAAGTTCAACTACTTTGACCGCGGCATGCACGCAAGCTCGCCATTGAAAATAATGGACCTCAAAGCACAGCGGTGGGTCTGAAAGTTTACACCTGCTTGGTTTGTTTACATTGCACTGAAAGCTCAAGTCTCACCGCTGCGGCATTGATTGTAAGTGACACGTTTATATTTAATTCCCTACCAACTTGCCATGTTATTTAATATAGCCTAATGTATTAGGCCTACCTTTATTTGAGCGTTCAAAGCTATGGTGATCCCACAGGTGCTGCATCAAGTTTGATGTAGTTATTCGTTCCTTTAGCAGCAACCTTTTAACGGCAAGTTTTTGAACAGGTGATCCATCATCTTCAGTGATGCCCTGGTCAGTGTTAGTGTAGCTAAAATGCTCCCACACTGCCAACTTCAGCCATTTCTTTGGTGGAAATAAAGCTTCACAGTTTGGCCCCTTTGCCATAGTTTAGCCAGTGTACAGTAGCCTCTGATAAGCACTACACATAAGCTGGTGCACTGCTACTGTAACTTTGTTTTTGTTTTATGCAAGTGCCAGTTTCGTTCCATACAACAGAAACACTGTTGTAGCGGAGCCTTTACGATTAATTTACCTTGATGTTTTAAAGCGCGGTTAATAGTGAAATCCGGTATTCGCTGCATCCCTAGTTTGGACTACACTGACTGGGATGTTTTCAGGACTGCTGCCAACAATCTGGATGAGTTTTCAGAGGCTGTGACGTCCTACATCAGCTTCTGCGAGGACAGCTGCATTCCAACACGGACCAGGGTGAGTTATAACAATGACAAAACCTGGTTCACAGCTAAAATAACCCCGCACCCTCCTTTCTCAATCTCAGAGGGGGAAGTCAACAGAATATTCAGGAGGCAGAAACCCCACAAAGCAGCTGAGCTGGACTGTGTCTCCCAATCCACCCTGAAGCACTGTGCTGATCAGCTGTCTCGGGTGTTCACAGACATTTTTAACACCTCACTGGAGACATGCCATGTGCCAGCCTGCTTCAAAACCCCACCGTCATCCCTGTCCCCAAAAAACCAAGGGCCACAGGACTAAAGCCCCTTTTCCACTACACGGTACCAGCTCGACTCGAATCGTCTTTTTTTGGTTTTCCATTGCGGAAAAGTTGTACTGTACCAGGTACTTTTTTCGTATCACCTCCGTCGAGGTTCCAAGCAAGCTGAGGCGATACTAAAATGTGACGTGACAACACAGCAGACTACTGATTGTTCACAGAGAGAATCGTCACTATTCATTGCGTGCAACAGACAGAGGCCAGCAACGGAAACCTTTATATTTTACAGTTTTCAAATGTTATTTCATTACTAAATCCACTTCTGAGAAGTTTTGAGGTGAGAAATTAACTGTGTAGATTTCAAATTTTGGCAGTTTCAAAAAGTGATGTGCTTGAAAGCTTTCGAGTTGAGGAGCTCTGCAAGTGGTGGCGAGGGGAAGCCTGCGCCAACCCGCAGGAGGAGCTCATGATGCCGGCCAGCCACCCGCTCACAGAGCCCTCTACTGCCACAGACACTGCCGCAGCAACAACGGCAGTGGAAAACACAGCTGCCCCCTTCTCTTCTCCCTGTACACCAACAGCTGCACCTTCAGGCACCAGTCCATCAAGCTCCTGAAGTTTGCGGATGACACCACCCTCAGTGGGCTCATCTCAGGTGGGGATGAAGCCGCCTACAGGTGGGAGATTGACCATCTGGTAACCTGGTGCAGCCAGAACAGTCTGGAGCTAAACGCTCCGAAGACAGTGGAGATGGTCGTGGACTTCAGAAAGAGCACAGCCCCAAACTCCTCCATCATCCAGTGTGACTCCCCCGTCGCCACTGTGGACTCTCCCCTCTGGCAGGAGGAGGCTGCGGTCCATCAGGACCAAAACCTTTCGCCAAAAAAACAGCTTCTTCTCATCTGCAGCTAGCCTCATTAACGAGGCCCGGGTCCCTCACTGACATTCATCCATCCATCCATCCATTGTCAACCGCTTATCCTGCGTACAGGGTCGGGGGGGGCTGGAGCCAATCCCAGCTGACATCGGGCGAAAGGCGAGGAACACCCTGGACAGGTCGTCAGTCCATCGCAGGGCCCCACTGACATCCCCCCCTTGCAAATAATAAAAATGTCTTTTTCAAGACTTTTTCAACATATTTTAAGACTGCTGTGCCACTTTGAGCTGTAAACAATTAAATCAGCCACACAACTTTAAAAGGGAATTTACATATATTTATAATATATTTATTGCCTATATATCATCAGGTTGTAACGCCACCTAAAAGTTGAGGCATTCACCAACTTTAACAGCCTGTATGAGCCAACTGTTTTCTATGTGAAGGACTGGTCAGATTTCCTGCGAAAAGCCACTGTCTTACATAAGCTATGACGTTTATGTACGCAACATTACAGCAAATCATGTGAAACACAGTGTAATTTTGTGTTTTAGTTGGTTTAAACTAGATAATGTGAGCTTACCTGCAATGATATGTGTGATAACTTTCATCAACCACTTGATCGATACAACAAAATTCAAATAGGCCAAGAGGAAAGATGAAGAGAATAAACTGAGTGATGAATAATGTAAGTAGTGTAGGCAATGTAGCACAGGCACAACCTGGAGGAGGAACTAGTGTAAATGAATTTATTTGTATAATATTGTACCATTAAATTAAAAGTATATTGTTAATTTAATAGTAAACTGTAAGTTTGATAGTAATATATTCATTATGTTACTATATTCAATATAATTTCATATATAACTTTCCACTAGTATAATATTAATTCGAATTACAGCTGTTTTAGTTTGGGGTTGTTTTTTATTCATTAACTTTGTGCAAGAAAAATGCTCCAGGCTACATGATAGTCTCCAGCCTTGATTTTGGGCAGGCTACTAACTCGTCAATAATCATACCCATTTATGCAGAACATTGAGTTCAACATTTATAAAGTTTGTTGCAGCACATCAAACTTTTATTTAAATCCTGCTCCATCCAGGCTGTGATTGATCTGTTCACAAAAACTGACATTGACGAGAGCAACGGCTTTATGAAAAGTTGAATGTTTCAATAACGGAAGATCCCTCCGCCTAACATTAAAGAAACAATTCACACAGTCGCTACGCACTGCCTGTCTAGTATTTCTGGCTATGCATTATAAATAAATACGTTCACCTACACTTTTAGCATACAAACTCTTTGGACAGTGTGTTAAATGGCGATTAGGACTTTTTAATACTTTTTAATGGCCTTAATTTTCGCAAAATTGATTTATTACCTTTTAAGACTTTTTAAAGAGGTGGTATCTCCATTATTGAGTTATATATCTCTTTTTTGTGCATGTAACAGGTTTGCAAAGTGAAAAAGCCCAAAGGGAGTTCCCATCTCCCACAGAAAGCTCTGCTCTGAGCCGCTTGAAAACAG